TTCTCTTATACACGAATATTTGCTTAAGAGCTTACATGACTATACACTTGCAAGAATAACCTCTTTCATCTGCATGCAATACAGTGCAGAATAAATAATGTTCTGTTTTTCATTTTGCTGTTTGGGGTTGCAAGAAATATAGTCAAAGTTTTAAATCAGGAAGTCTTACACACACAGGTTTGGGGTTTACAGACAATAATGTCTGGAACAAACCTACTTCATTGCCTGATTTTAAAATACAGCATCTGGTATACCACAAATCTACATCAGTAAGGTGTGGAGAACTCCTCTATGCTCTTGTGAGCACAGAGTAAAAACTAAAGAGAAGCTATACTAACATTTTTTCTTCGTTTGTATGCATTGCCTCCACAGGCATAGTATATAAGAGCCCTCTAGCTTTTTTTCTTCCATCCAGAAAACATCTCAACTAACAGTGGTCTGAGAACAGATGTCTGGTTTAGAAGCCTAACCTTGTGAAACAACCTCTCCAATTCTAGGCATGGATTTTGAAACAGCCAGTCTTGGTAACCAAACATCTTTCTCTCCACTTCTACAGAACAGGGACAACATAGGCCACATCAGCGCAGTATTCCTCAAACCACATCACTGTTATGCTTCTCATGAGCCAATACCTGTGATCAAATTACCTTCCTATCTATGTTTGCTTTGAAGAAAACATCTGTTCCTCTTTTGTATCTATGCATTGGTTTATCAGAGTTTTGTCCAGAGTGCTAAGCTTTTTTTTCTTCACACTTCGTGTGCTATATTTAGGACCTGTGCATGTGAAATCCACACAATAAAATCTTCTTAAAATAGAACTTTTTGAGATAAAATAGAAAAACAAATGCAGATTTGATTTTACACTGTTCCCAACACAGTCCTTTACCGTGCTATGGTTCATATTTCCTTTCAAGAAAGATTTTCCTTCAGCATTGAAACACCAGTTCAAGACAATGTAATCATTGCAGACCCACTGTAGGAAAGCAGAGGTCCACCTATTTCCATTCTGGATCAGTCTCCTGGAAGTAAGGCCTGCTGCCATTCCAAATGCAACTTTTCATTGTTTTCTGCACATATAAAAAGCCAAAACTGCTTCATTTATCTCGTAATAAATAGCCCAGTTTATAGACTTTGTAAAATGGAGTTTGAGCACAGGCTACACACTAAACTGACATACCTCCCATAATCACAATTATTCTAAATTAGGCAACCATACATCCTTCCTAGGATCATATTTATTTATTTTTCTGCCCAAAAGGGACAAAGAAATGTTTACCATTTAGTTGTGTAATTTTCAAACTGCAGAACTAATAGGGATAGTTTAACTTTGAGTGGGTAACTTCCATAAGGAGTTGGATGTAAGTGCATTTGGAGTTTATTTGTTGCTAACTGAATGTCTTTTTAGATGTATCACTTTTAGTCACAAAATCACCATTGCTCTTATGCATCCCATTTATATTTCAGAGAATTTAACTGAAAGTATCTGTTGGTCATAGAGAACTTGAAATATCTAGATTTGAGTTTTTCATAAAGGGATATAAAAAATGTCTTTTAGTATGTCCTTTAATATGAGATAGCTATCTAGTGCCTCAAAAAAGTTCAAGAGTAGAAATATGCTCATTGTTCAAGACAAGAATTGGAGTACTAATACAGCATGAAATAAAAGGTCTTCTAGAACCAGACCTGTCTAGTTCAAGTTAACTTCATTCTTAAGGTTCTCAAAATTACTTCTAACAACCTGCTTTTCAGTCATTGAGTCTTCACTTTTCTTTGCCTTTGACTCAGGTATGCTACATGCGTTAACAGGGCAAAGAAAACTACTTCTTGATCTAAGTTCTCAGTCTGTATCCAGATTTGATCTGCTCAGCAGCAGTCCATAATTGTAGTTGAGATTAAAATTGTTGACTTCAGTCTGGACTATGGTGAGGGCAGACAAGAGTCCTTAGGGAATTTAATTATGACGCTCAAAGCAAATCCTTAGCAAATGTGTGTGAACTCATTTTTTCAAAGGCTTTTTCAGTTTGACTAAATGTCAGCAAAATTCCACAAACTGCAGAATAAGTTTCTTTATATAGGGAAAAGTTGTTTTCTAGCCTCTGGGTTTCCAGCCAGGGAACAACAGGTATATGTAGGGAAGTAAGATTATTTAATCATATGAATATAAGCCGGTTTGTTAATAAGGCAGCACTGTGGTGGCATGTGATTTCTAACATATTTTCTTTTCTCACTTCATTGATTTACTTGCAACAAAGACAGGAAACAAACTAAAATTTAAGAGCTGACTCAGCATTTATTTGAATACCCTGGTCATTCACAAGTCTTTGCTTCAAAGTGTAAAGTAACTAGAACCTTTTAAGAAATGGCATCAAAGCTTAAACAAAGCCATGTTATTACGTAAATTTTCTCTCGGATGCTTCCCTTGGACACTTCTGAACCATTTAATCTGGTGAGGAAGAAAAAGTATCCTGAGGATAAAATTTCCCTCCAGATGGTTGAAGATTGGCAAAATTGCAAGCAACTAAAAAGTCAGACCTATAATGAGATGTGTCATGCAGACTTGATACAAAGCAAATGTTAAGTCATGTAAATATGAGGTAAGTGGTAGCTTGTTTTCCTATTCTGTTTTAGAGCATCAGAATAGAAGCAGTTAAGATAGAATAGATTAATTCTAATTTTAAGAAGGTGTGTAGAATGATGGTTACTGCCTTATTCTTAATAGATAAAATTCAAAAATGAAAAATGAAGACAGCTATAATCACAAAGGAGATGTTTAATTTCATAGTATAATATACAGGATATAACTGCCCTTCTAATACCAGAGGTATCTTCAAGTGTACTATGGGATTGATTATAAAAAGTTGATGCCATTCAATCAAGGAATTCAGCTGCATTAATGTTTATAGAGATGATGCAAACAGCACCAAGGATGACCACTTCAGTATTATTTTTCCACATTTTTTAAACAACTCTAATGATGATCTTTTCATATTCTTTATTTCCATGTAAGCTTACTCTGTACCTCCAGCAAAGCGTTCACAAGTAGAAGGTGACAGTAATTCTCTGTTTACATACGGAATAATGGTACAGAACTGCAAGTAGTAGTATGAAATAAGGAGATTTCACACTTTATCAACAATACACTGTAGTTAGGACAGAGTGACTCTGGCAGTTAATGATGGCATTCTTGCCACAGAAGGACAGCCCAGTGCTGTGTAATTTACCTTCTGGCATAAGCAAATTTTGCGACCACTGCAACATAGCATGAATCTCACTTGTAATCTAAAGGAGGAAGGCTTAACCGTGTTACCAGTAGTTTCAGTTGTGCAATCATTCTTTCTTTGTCTCCCTAACAATGCCATAATCAGACAAAGAAGAAGCATGTTTTGTTGAATACTGTGGCAGAGTCCCTAGATAAGTTTTCTGCCTTTTAGGAAACATTCTTCAAGACCTTAGATAGCAAGTACTTGCAATCAGAAATCAGCCTGCATTCATATATTGCAGTGAGAAACATCATTAACCTATGAAACTTGTCTCCACAAAGATTATATTAATAAAGTGGATGTATTATGTATGAAATAGCATATAAATGGATAATTCATATTAATAAATACTCTTATGAGATTGTTTAGAGAAGTGCATTGTGTCAAAGAGATTGTCATTAAAATTAGATCATGTATAGTGTGTGGTGCCAGAGAATCTTTGAGTGACGTCAAGTGTAACTTTCTAAAGAGAGCTTATCATACTATAGTGATAATGTGATAATATTGTGAGGATGATAGTAATGCTGTTACATTGCCATTGCAAAATCCATGAAGGAAATTAATTCTTTCTAAATCCATGAAGGAAATTCTAGTTACCTTTTTTTGAAGACTTTACTCCTTGGTTGGTCTGGTTGGCAGCAACATTCTGAATTTTGTGGTTCTTCAGAATGAGGAGTAGGTGTGGTCTTCCAGTCAGGTATGTGCATTAAGGAAAAAAAGCCTTATGTGATTATATAATTAAAGACAGTGTGATAACATAAGCACAATGTAGAGAGCACAAACGCTCTTAATTCTGGTGTTTCTTAGCCTTTGAGTATGTGCATTGACAGTTTTAAATATAGTTTGTGTGTATTATAGATTAAATAAAAGGGGGAATGTGGGATTGTGTTAAAATAGCCAGCAGGCTTTTCAAGCCTATTTTCTTTCAATATTAACACTTTTTAACTTGAGCGGGTTGGAGAACTGACAAACATAATGTTATTTATATAACTGAGCAGCATATCACCATAGTGGATATATAAACTTTCTTATCATTCTGTAATCTGCAGTCTTTAGAAATCCATTGCTCACTAGCAGTGCAGACAGAGTTATGTTTTCATAAACATATTAACTGTCGTGCTTTGTTCATTTTCCAGGATTTTCTTTGCATGCTGTTGGAAGACATCCCTGAACAAAAAGAGTAAGTGAGAACCAGGCTAGAAAAGTCAAAAAAGAAAGTAGAAATCAGATTGAAATATTGGCTGTGCTAGACGACACTAGTAGGATTTTGTTTAGTATTGTTCTGCTTGTTTTTTTTCAAGTGTGGGTGTGTAGCTTTCTCTGAAAATTCTCACACATATATTAATAAAAAATATGAGACTTGCTGTGTTACTGCTTTGCCATGCTCCTCCCAAGCAGTGCCTTTAACTTGCATGTTAGGGCAGCTTTGAGGTCCTGTGTTCACTGTGTGATCAGAAGTGCCAGGCCCAGCTGCTTGCTCAAACTAATCTGTGATCCTCCTGTGAGCTGCTTTTGGCACATGGCACCGTGGAGCAAGGAGGCCAGAGCTTTGCTGTGGATCTGGGAAACCAGAGAAGGTGGATTTTTCTCAAGCAGTGGTCTGCTACCATCCTCTCCTCGTCATACAGTGTTCCAAATGGAGAAGGATGGAAAATGCTAATGAAAATACAGCATTAATTGCCTGACATATCTTTCAAAATCCTCCTGTGTGTACCTGTGACTGGCTGAAGATGATACAGCTAGTCTTTTTCAAAGCTTTGAATCCATCCCTGCTTATCCATTGTTTTGTTCTGTGTTAATACAGACTGTGCTACAATTACAGGTTCTTTTGTAGTGGAGCTTTACATATTATACTTTTTAAAAATAATGCATTCACTTGAAAAATCAAATTTTGGGGAGCAGGATTCCAAGTCTTCATAAATCTGGGTGAGTAGTTTTTTGGGGAAAAAAATGTTCATAGATGTCAAATGTATTGAATTTTTTAGTGAAACACATCTTAGAGGGTGAAGGACAAAGAAGCTGCTTATCATTGAGATAATGTGTTTTGTGACATCATGAGTTTAGTTTGGGTGGTTATATTTTCCAGTGATATAGTGTAGGATGATATTTTGTTTGTATCACTGGATATGAGTTTCCAGCCCAAATATATGCAGGAATATTAAATGGAATAAGTGGTAAAGTGGATTATTTAATGGCATAATTATACATTGATTTGTTAATAAAATCTGTTTTCCTTTTGTCCACTTGTGTTTCTCTGAAGTCCAAACCCAGTGCAAAACATTATTTGAATAAACATCTGATTTTCTGCCTTAAAAACATGCCAAAATATTTAAACTTTCAATGAGACTAATGCAAAAGTATGTCTCCATTTGCTTGTCACCACACTCCAGAATGTATGAACAAAATTTCAGATCTATGGTAGTTCATTTTACAATCAGATATATAGCGTATTTGAATTTATCTACTGCCAGAATTACCTTGTGTGCAGATATCAACAGAATGCCAGGAATAATAGAACATCTGGATATACAGAAGGCCTTTATCTGCTACAAAGATGCTTTTTCATTCTTGAATGTACTTTGTTGCTAGTACAGAAATACAAGTCTGAAGTAAAAGCAAAGGAAGGAAAGATGAAAACGAAATATTTTCAGATATCATCTGCTGATGAGTGCTTTTTCGCACAAAATTTCAGTCATAGGAATGAAATGCATTTCAGGATTAGAGCAACAAAATTGTACACAAAACCTCCCAGACTTGTGCAGTTCTACCAAGTAAAATTTTAATATTTAGACTAGATGCTTCTTACTGAAAAATACTAAGCACTCTCAAATACAGAAGTTCATAATGGAGGCTAGACCTAATCATTCAAAAAAAAAAAAAAAAAAAAAAAAAAAAAAAAAAAAAAAAAAAAAAAAAAGACAAAGTAGTAGTAATAGGGAATCAAGCCAAATCCTGCCCTCAGCTGTGGCAATAGAAGCAAACTAGTGTAGATAGGAGTAGAATTTGGCTTATAGGAGAATTTTGTAATGAAAATAGGATTAACAGTGGCAGAAAGCAATCATACAACATGTGGTAATGTTCTATAATTATTACATTGGAGTAATGCAATATTAGCTTTCTGCTATTGGATACAGCAGACTATAGCTATAAGATTCTCACTCTTGCAGTACTTAATGCCTTTAGTTTTTACTTACAGGAGATTATTTTTCTTACATTCCCAGTGATGAGCAGTTCCGAGATACAGATGTAACTTCTTAAGTGGCAGTCACTGATTTCTGCTTACTTCTGTACTCAGAGGAGGATGATTATATGCCTAATTTACAGGGCTACTTCACTTGTTGCTCTGACTCAATTTTAATGGCATGTTAGCTGTAGGAATCCATTCTGCAAGGCAGGATCCTTCTGTTTCTGCAGCTGAATGCTGACATCAGACAGACCTAGCACTACCTTCTGGTCCTTTAAAATTTCCTAACTTGCCCTTAAGGCAGATTATTTCTGTGTGTGAAGGGCTAATGGCAAGGACAAATATCATTATCCTTCTCTGTTTTCAAAGCCTTAAAAAAAATAACATGCACTGGCTATAGTCTCACATTACCTTGGTCTTTCTATGGAAAATCTACAGTATTTCCCACCTGTAACTGAAGCTTATTTCCTCATATTTAATTTGAAACTTTACTACATTAAAAAAGAACAACAAACTCAACCAAACAACAAAAGACACACACACCCCCCCTTATGTGTCTGTATATCATACTGCCCAAGATTTGATAAAACTCAGTGGTTCTGTTCTCCCCAAGGCTTACTACACCCATGGCCTTTGCTGCAAATTGATCCTCTTCACATCTGCCCAGCATGTGAGCTGTGCAAAGACTCAGTGTTTTAAGGCCCTGTAGCAGAGGGTGAGTTTCACCAGCCTCAGATAAATCAGTCTTAGCTGCTTGTGCTCTGTACAACCACAGATTTTTTTTGACTAGGTCAGTTCTGTTCTCTGGGGTTTTCTGGTGGTATTTTTTTATTTAATTTTACTTATTAAAGTAAATAAGTATACTAATAAAGCTATGGTTTTAATAATGCACGATAGACAAAGGAGAGCTTGTGTTACAGCTCTGCTATTTCTACTAACGCAGACTTATTAACCACATTCCTTGCATGTCTTCATAAATTGTCAGTTAAGTGTTAAAATAATGTTAAAATGATGCTGCAATTTCAAACTACTCAGATATAGCAATATGTGTGTGTCTCTTTCATATGCGCTTCCTTTGATACATTGTCATGAATCTGGTGATTTTGAGACAAACATCTGGTAAGCACCTAACTCCTGAAGCAAATCATTGGGAAAGATTTTTCCCAGTCTTTTTGATTCCTCCATTTTTTTGGTAAGCCAAAATACATATATGCCGGATGAAACCCAAATGAAGTCTCATCTGCAGGAAGCTATAGCTAGTTGACAGAATTACTAAGTAGTCACTAATCTTTGATTTGCACTAACTCTGTATTAACTGGAATAGCTTACTTTGAAAATGATTGTGTATGAATGTATATATACAGATGAAGCAAATATGTCCACTGAAGTATTTTTAGTTGGATATGGCAGACATTTTATGTTCCTTTACAAAGAAGAGGTTGCATACTCTTATGTGCACTGTTTGTTTGCTGCAACAACTTATTTTAAAGGTGGTTTCTTTTTGATTGAGGAATTAAGTGGGCTTATGATAGTTTGTAGTATGCTGTGGGGCCTTGTGCAATGAAAACTCAATATATTGGCATCTTTTATAATGCTAGTTTTCAGATTATCATTAAAGTTAGTACTTTACAGAGCTTGCTCTGAAGCATTGAATCTGGCCGTGAACAGTATGTATGTATATTAGATCATTCTTAGACCGATTGGTTTATCATGTAAACAAATAGACAAGGGATGAGATGATGGATGTAATAGTATTCTCATTTTACAGTAGGGAACTGTAGTACAAAGCAACTGCAGAACTTATCCAGCCTTGTAAAAGGCTGTTATAGTGCCTATCAATTGAACCCAGATCCCACAGTCCAATACAATACCTTAACTTAGAAGGCCATTCAGTAAATCACATACACCAAAGTTCTTACAGATGCTTAACTGCAACATAAGCAGGTTGTGAACACCCTTTCTGAATATGGACGCTTTACTGAACTGCAGCCTCAATAAATATTTGGCCCTGTGTCCTTTCTCTAGGACATTAGTCTTGAAATAGCAGTCTGTGATCTACTTTTTGGGCCTGATCTGAAGCCCACAGTTTTTCAGTGTCCACTTTCACACATCACATTTAGAGTAGATCTTTGCAATACTCAGTACATTACTAAATATATTTGGGAAAAAAAAAACAGTGAATGCCTCTAAACTGCTAAAATAGGTTGCTTTTTTGGATGGGTGCCACAAAGAATGTCCTACGTTGGAATAAAAAAAGGTGTGTACAAGTACAAACAAGACTGCCTATGGTCATACGACAGGTGTTTAGCAGAAACTGAGGGTGCTGTAGGCAGAGAAACCGTAGCATTGTTGTCTTTGCCCTTGAGAAAAATGTCAAAGTTTCAGGAGAGGCTGAGCAATTTATTAGTGGTGTTTCTGCCTGGATTAGTAGGGTGTTAGAACAGCACAACCCCTTTGTGTCAGAAGCTCATTTCAAAGACAGTGTTTTGATTTGAGCTGTTGTTGGCTTTAAAAGCGACGGAGGGTATATTAAAGGCACTACATAGCAAATGTAGCATAGATTACTTTGCATAGCTTTTTTATTTCTGAGGAAATCTCACACTTTAGGGGGGGAAAAAAAGGACAAACTGGCATTGTGAAGCTGTGTTTCTTATTCCTAGATGAAACAGATAAGAGTATTTTTCCTAGCTGCTCGCTCTGTTTCAGCATTGGGACACTTAGGATGTTTTGATTCATGCAATAACAAATTAAAAATTGTTGTTCTGATTATGCTGCTTGAGACAGAATAAATGGTACGATCCACCTGATCTACTTTTGATTATATAAAATTTGGGTGTCCAGTTTTAAGTTAGTTGTGTATGTGCTCTCTATAGTAACCAGACAGAAATAAGAAAAAACATTATCTTATCCCAAGGAAGGTGAATTGACCAACTGAAATACTTCTTTCTCTCCATTCCCCATGGAAGGGACTCAGCTAACTAACTTAGACTAGACACAAATTTTTAGTGCACTCTGGTAAGGTGAAGGTAATTATAGCCTGAAGGATATAGCAGTCAAACGCTCTAAATTTAATAATTTTGCACAAATAACAAGGTATTACTAAAACCTGACCAAATCTGGATGTTAAGAAATTACTGTGATTAATGTGAATGTTGAACACTACCAATGGTGTGTATGTTCAGTTATATGCAGAAAATTGATTTCCATTTGTGATTGGACATGCACAATGATAATTTCCTAAAAGTTCAGAATCCTGGCCATGTAGAAATGCTTCTGCTTCACTGCTGCAATTATTTGAACCACATGATCTGAGGGAAATTTTTGTTCATCTGTGACAGTCTACAGTCTCCTAATGTTACAAGAGGTAGTTTGACATTTCAGATTTAGTGATTGGGAAGATTTCTTTGTTTCCATGGGAATTATTCTCCCTTCTGGGTCTTTTAAAGTCACCTCAGCCAGGCTGATATGTCATCTCTTACTTGGAAAGACATACTGAAGTAAAGTTTGGACTAAATTACATGAAAAATAAGCATCTTTGGCCTGCACTTTAAGGTGACTGATCAAAACCTGAAGAAAACTACTAATAGAAAATGAAAGCATGTATATGTGGCTTTATTGTCATTATAATATGTTATTTTCCTTTAATCTGTCACTTTTGATTTTCAATATGATGCTGTAGCCTGTATATGCAAGCATATTTTAGTAGCTGAATGACATAGGGCAGTATTTGTAAGACAAGATTTTATTATAGTAATTGTTGAACAATTACTCAATAAGAAGCCAGCTGACTCTCCATTTTGATCAGATTCTCCCACCCCTATTTCACATTGGCAGAATTTTATTCTTTTAGGTAGACCTGTTCATTTTAATGAATCTCCTTCAGAATACTGCTCAGTGTGAATAGGGATGGCAGATCTCCCACCACAATCATGTAGAGTAGAGGTTGTAGCTGTTAATTCTACCTCAAAGGAATGCTAACACATAGTTCTGCTTGGAGATGGAGGGTAAATTTTTCATCTTGGATTCAACAAGGATAAGAATATCTAACTCAGAATATAAACCATATCTGATAAGTGCTGTTGTTACACCTGGTAATATCAGTAATTTAACACAGATAATTCCAAACAAAACTAGCCAAGTTAAAAAAGGTCATAACTATAAACAGTAAACACAGAGAAATTTTTCCTCTATGAGTGTGTTTAAGAGTCATCCACTAACATTTTGCTTGACTGCTTTTGAGACTCCATAAGCTCTCGAGCCATTTGCATGTCAGGCATGACAGTGATTGATCATTCTGCCATTGGCATAGCAAAAGTTAATACATAAAGGTGTTTAAAAATCATTCAGTAAAAATGATTGATTCATTTATTCAGTAGAAGTCCTTCTTAGTCACTGATACAGTCCATAAATAAACTACCTTTAGGGTCAGAATTTTGAGCACAGCCATGTCAGATATTGGTGGAAAGAAACCCCCAACTTCTTTGTCATGTAATTCAAATTAAAATAGTATTGGGTTGCTTGCCTTCCTGTCTCAGAGCTTTGAAATGTCTGTTTTTATGAATGCTTTGTTGGTTATGGGTCTACATTACATATGTGAAGGTAGCTGCAAGTGTTAGAATGAGTCTTGCCAAGGCATTAACCATGCACAGGACTATGCACATCTGCTTCTCAGAATATTTAGAGGCCTTACTCAAATTCCTTTTTTTCAGTACTGGCATAGTGCATGGACAATGCAATTTTTAAAAAAATTTTAATTTAACTTCGCTTCCCTGCAAGTTGGGAAGTCTTCAACCAGAGTTGAAATAAATGCAACAGAAGTTAGAGAAGTAGAAAGGGAAATAGAATTTCTGAATTTGCAAATACTTATGCATGTGGTTATTTTAGTCTCACACAGCTTGATCATGACAAACTATTTCCTTTTTGGGGGGCTTCAGACTATTCTATGACTTCACTGTGAATGTTATCAGGATATAAAACTGTAGAAAAGATGAAACTAAATGTCTTAGATACTAGATAACTTTGAGGATTAATATCCACCAGTGCTTTTTAAAACCCAAAAGTTTCAGGCAGTTTATATTTAATTTCATTTTCTTTAGTATTTTATCTTTACTTTTAGGCTGCTTCTGTAACAAAATACTGATTTTGAATGTCTGCAGCTAAATTTACTTGCCTGTGATTATTTTTTACTGTAAAAGAAACAAATCCACTCAACAAGAAGCAGAGTACCTGTTCATACTTTACATGCTTCATAAATGCAGTTTACAGTCTTACACTCTCTGTCCATCCTCATAAGCACTGAATTTATCATTTGAGTTTTAAGCTCACAAAATCTGATCTGTCTTTAATTTACTTATATCACCCTCTGATATTATACATTAAAAAAACAAGAATGTAGCACCACTGTGGTACAACCACTACTTGGAATTCAGGTTTTTTCTCAGCTTCTAAAGGGTTAATTTTCATGTGGAAAAGTTGGTATGTCTGTGTGTGTCTTTAAATATATGTATTTTTTTTTTTAAAGGTCTGGGTTAACTGTAGAAAGTATCTTCCAGAATTGGCTTGACACTTCTGGAATACCAAAGGTAAATACAAAATACCAGTTATTTCTGGAGTCTTGTATTTCTCATTACATCTTATTTAAATCATTACCTGTACTGGGTCTGGCTGAGCTGGAATTGGTTTTCCCCTACAGCAGCCCTCACGGTGCTGTGGTTTATGCTGGGAGCTGGCAGGGTGTTGGCAGCACCCTGGTGTTGTGGCTCCTGCTGAGCAGTGCTTACACAGCACCAAGGCTCTTTCCGACATTTCCCCCAGTGGGACGGGGTGGGCAAGATCTTGGGCAGTGACACAACCAGGACAGCTGACCTGAACAGACCAAAGGGATATTCCAGACCATGTGACGGCTGCTCAGTATAAAGCTGGGAGAAAGGAGGAAGGGGGTGGGGTCACCCTTGGTCCTCCGAGGCAACCACTACGCGTATCGGAGCCCTGCTCCTGAGAAGGGCTGACACCGCCTCTTCATGGGAAGGAGAGAATAAATCTGTTTTCTTTTGCTTCCGTGCATGGACCTTTACTTCGCTTTGCTTACATTAAAACTGCTTTTGTTTTACCCACTAGGGTTGGTCTATCTTATTTTCTTCCCCCTCTTTGCCCTGCTGAGAAAACAAGGGGAAAGGGGAGGAAGTGATAGAGTGACTTGGTGGGTACCTGGCATTTAGCCAAGGTCAAACCATCACATTACCTGAACTTATAACAGGTATGGTTTTAGATAAACAGTTTTGATGATGACTGCTTTCCACATCTTCATATTGTCTTTAGCTTTTAACAGTTGAAAGTTTTTGCTTCTTTCATCATCTCAACAAACCTGCCAAAGGGCAAATCTTACAAATGTTATCCTGTTGTTTAATACTGTAGTCACATGGAAGTATGCTTTACAGTATAGTTGTGGACTCTACTAAATGTAAGGAGCATTGTTCACATCTGTCAGTATATTAATTACTTGAAAGCCATACTGAAAGCAGTAACTAAATGTTAAATTATCTGTACTTTGATATTTTGTGAATACTGTGACTTGCTCATGAATCTGCTGCATGGGTAACATATTTCACTGGTGTTCTCTATTGCAGTTGAGACTGAGCACTATTTTCTGTTGTTAAATACTAAAAGCTTTTAATATTAATCTTTTAAATTATCTGAACTGAAAGTGCTTAGTTGTGTCTGTGCTGTGTGAAGGCTCTGATTATTTGTTTTGATCCAAAACAACTCCGATTATTTGTTTTGGTCCAAAGCCACTGTTGCTAATTGGCTCAGCTTTGTCCAGAAGTGGGTCTGACTTGGAGATGAGGGAGGTTTGAGAAGCTTCGCACCGGGGCCACTGTTGTAGCTCCTTCCCCCACTACCAAAAACCCCTGCCAAACAAACCCAGCACAGAACATCAGCATGCTGACCCCTTCCCTCTCTCTTATCCCTCAGTAACCTTTTTGGTGATTTACCCTTGTTGCCTTCAGCACTTCTCAGGCTCTCATGGGAACTAGTTTATTGAAAGCACTGGAGGAGTTGTCATTCAGTGAATAGGAAAGCTGCTTTCCTTTATGCTTTATTATATCATTTGGGGAGCCCTTATTCCTGAAATCAAGACTGTAGATGTTACTCAGTAGCTCTCAATACATTAGTATCTATAATCTAAATATGACTGTATTTAGTGACTACAGAAATATAAATCTACTCACATGCCATAGAGGAGCTGATATTGAAACCTCCTTAAAAAGTATTTAGATATTCTAAATATGATGAATATATTTGAAGACACATAGACCACCTTCTTCCATGCAGGTCATCTACCTGCACCATAAATAGCAGCCCAGGAATGCCACAGAACTGACTTATTCTCTCTCATGGGTTGCCAGGTGACTGGACTAGGGTGTCCATAGAGGAAGGTTTCTGTTGGCTCCTTTGGGCAAAGTCCTATGGCTGAGTTAGACAGTCAAGCAGTGCGAGCAGTATGAGGTACAGAGCATCCATTGCAGGTGACTATCTTTCCTGAATACTGGCACAACTGAAAAGCATCTGGTGAATCTCTGCTCCAAAGATTTCCCAAAGGCAGAGAAGCAGCATCCTGTACCCTACACAGGATTCAGCAACTTTTTGCTTATCACCATTATTTTGCTGACTGTACTACAGAGTTCTGTAGTAGGATAGTTAAAATCATTCTTAATCTTGCATACCTGTTCTTAGAGGGACAGAATGTATTTCTTAGTGGTTTAGTAGATACCTATGAGAAATTACTTAAGAATTTAAACTTTTTAAATGTACAAAAATTATCTAAGACTACACTGCATTTGGAGAGGAAACTTCATTACTGAAGAGGTGATCCTCTGTAATGGGGTTGGGAAATTTGCATCATGCTGTCCATTATGGAAATCAAGTCAGAACATGGTTCCTTTATATCTCTCCTATATGAGAATTTTTATATTTTATAGTGGCTGTGGTTGTTTTTGTGGCATCTTTTATTTCTGTGTTTAGGTGGGTTTTGCTAAGGAAATTCATGTCACCCATTGACTACAAAGAAAATTCACCACGTGTGGTTCATTTACAGCATTAGCTACCATAGTGTTTTTAAGAATTTTCTTCCACAGTTGTATCCAAATCTATCACCTGTACACAACTGATACTCTCTAAAATTTGATAGCAACATGGTCACTTAAAAACAGAGTTCACTGTCTTCACAACAGTGTCTTGCTAAAGGACACTGGAAGGGTACTTGTGCCAAAAGATGGATGAGGGTAAATACTTTCCACTCCCCAGACTACTGAAGCATTACTTACCATCCTTCCCATAGAGGAATTAGCATTTTGTATTCTTTACAGTTATATGTCATGGCAACTGTCTAACTGAAGATCCTATATTCCTTTACCTGTGTTTTGTTACATTTGCCATTCTGACTCTGTCCAGGGAACCACATATATATATATCTATATACACACACACATATATATATATATATATACACATATATACACACACACCACTTTATACTTGCAACTTATAACTACTGAAGCTTTAACGTTTGTCAATTTCTATTACCATTTAACTCTTGGAAAAGTAATTTGGTCTTTTCTAAATATTGGGCTAGTTTCTGGGCATGTGTGTGTAACAGCAGTAATAAAGAATAACAACGTAAGGGAGTTGTCATACTGATAAATAAAGCCAGAATTTGGCCTGTTGCTATGAAAAAATAATTCTGTGTGCCAAGTTACGTTTCCAAACTTGGTATTTTCCAAAGCATTAAAGGTTAATGTTATAAAAAAGGGTGTGTGATAATGACAGGCCAATTCTTCCTTACATGGAAGAGTGCCATAGTGCAGTGGTTGTCTTCAGGCTTGCTGTGCAGGAAGGCTTTCTCACACAAAATAAGGAGCATAAGAAATGAAAAGCAAGCATTTCTTAAATGAAAGCTTTCATGAGAATATTTTTCTCGGAACACACCATGGTGGTGTTGAATAAAGTGAAGCATATTGTGTTGTTGAAAATGCCTTTTATCAAACCAAGCAACCTTCACCATGTCCTTCTGTCTGAGGTGACTCACTAGGGGATTATAACAATTTTTCATCATGTGCAAGTAGTAATGACTTAACACCACTAACTTGAGTCAATGAGTTAAGCTGGCAAGGAGTAGAATCAGAACAAAATGGCATTTAGAGCTGGAAAACACCTGTGAAACCACTTAAATCCACTTCATCCCTGCTGCTGCTGATTTGTTCTCTTAAATGACAGTTTCTGTTGTGTCTTTCAGTCTGTGAAATGTTCAATTAGTGTTTAAGACTAGAAGACCATATGCTTCTTGAGGAAGATTTTCTCAGTTCTGCACACACTTAATCTTTGTGATATATTGCCCAGTCACTCTTACCTGAATTTCTTATTCTACTTTAGAAAACTAAGCTTTTAAAAATATGCTTAAAATTTTTCCCCATTTTGAACTCTGTTGTACACTGTTTAATTGAGAAGTAGACCAACATTAGGATGTCTCTGCATCTCATGAACTCCTACATGTAATTTTTTTACTCATTTCAGTTTCATAACCTTTTCTTTTGCTTCTGAAACTGCAGTTTCACAGCATACTATTATTTACTAGTAAACTATCTATCTTCAATGTTCCTTGGGTGTGTATTTCATTTGGTACCTTGTGTTATGAAAATGATCTTCTGCAGATTCATTCTTCAGTTAAAAAAAAAAAAAAAAAGGAGCATTCTAGATTTC